GCAACGAAGCGACGCGACGACGTCAACGAGGAGGTCCATTGCCGTCGTCTCCTGTTGGTCTTCTCATCTTTGCATCAGGGGGTGGGGGGGGGCCAGCGCGGCGCTTGACTTTGCGACTTCCAATATACGGTCAAAACTACAATGCCGTCCGTGCAGATTTCTCGGGGAAGCATTCGGGCGTCGCGCTCCTGTGCACGTTCTCAACGTGTCATCGCGCGCGGATGGTCGTTTGCTTGAAGCACGCGCCAGTAAGGAGCTCCACCCGAGGCCAAAAAAGTGCTGCCCGCATGCGTCCCCGCCACCAATTGCGGCACACCCCTCAAACGGTTCGCGGCCCCAGAGGGAGCCTCACCCAAGGCTCAAATGGTGCCGTCCGCATGCGCCCCCTCCAAACATGCGGGCATCCCATCGGGAGCTCTACCCACACGGCGCCGCCCGCACGCGCGCCCGCCACTCATGTCGGCACACCCTTCGCACGTTTCGTGGCCCCGTAGGGAGCCCCACCGAAGGCCCCAGCGGCAGGGCCCGCATGGCGTACCCGCACCCGATTCGGCACACCCCTCGCACGCTTCGTGGCCCCAAACGGAGCTCCACCCAAGGCCCCAGCGGCAGCGTCCGCGTGACGTACCCGCGACCAGTTCGGCACATCCACCACATGTTTTGTGCCCAAGTAGGGAGCCACACCCAAGGCCCGACGCGGTACCGCCCGCGTGCGTCCCCGCCACGCATTTCGGCACACCCGTCACACGTTTCGTGGCCCCATAGGGAACCCCACCCAAGGCCCAAATGGAACCCCCCGCACGCGCCCCCGCCACCGATTGCGGCACGCCCCCCACGCGTTTCGTGACCCCGTAGGGAGCCCCACCCAAGGCCCAACGCGGTGCCGCCCGCATGCGTCCCCGCCAAACATTTCGGTACACCCCTCACACGTTCCGTGGCCACAGAGGGAACTCCACCCAAGGCCCAAATGGACCCCCCCGCATGCGCCCTTCACACGCTTCGTGGCACCATAGGGGGCCCCACCAAAGGCCCAAGTGGTGCCGCCCGCGCGCGCTCCCGCCATGCATGTCGGCACGCTCCCCACACGCTTCGTGGCCCCATAGGGAGCTCCGCCCAAGGCCCACATGGTGCCACCCGCATGCGCCCCCGCCACACATTTCGGCATACGCTCGCACGCTTCGTGGCCCCATAGAGAGCCCCACCCGAGGCTGCACATGGCGCCGCCCACATGCGCCCCCGCACACCCCTCGCACGCTTCGTGGCCCCAGAGGGAGCTCTACCCAAGGCCCCGCGCGGTGCCGCCAACATGCGCTCCTGCCACCCAGTTCGGCACACCCCTTCACACGCTTCGTGGCCCCAGAAGGAACTCCACCCAAGGCCCAAATGGTGTCGCCCGCGTGCGCCCCCGCCACCCATTTCGGCACTCCCCTCGCGCGCTTCGTGGCCACATGGGGAGCTCCACCCAAGGCCCCCAAAACTGCCGCCCGCATGCGCCCCCGCCACCTATGTCGGCACGCCCCTTTCTACACGCTTCGTGGTCTCAGAGGGAGCCCCGCCCAAGGCCCCACCTTGCGCCGCCCGCATGCGTCCCCGCTGCACATTTAAGCGCACCCCTCACTCGTTTCGTGGCCCCTAGGAAGCTCCACCCAAGGCCCCACGCGGTGCCGCCCGCACGCGCTCCTGCCATCCACGTCGGCACGCCCCTCACACCCTTCATGGCCCCATAGGGAGTTCCACCTAAGGTTCAAATGGTGCCGCCCGCATGCGTCCCCGCCGCCCGTTTCAGCCGATCCCGCACACGCTTCGTAGCCACATAAGGAGTTCCACCAAATGCAGCCCGCATGTGTTCCCGCCACCCATGTCGGCACAACCTCCACATTTTTCGTGGATGCATAGGGAGCCCCACCCACGGCTCAAATGGTGCCGTCCGCATGTACCCCCGCCAATCAGGCCGGCACACCTCTCACACGCGTTGTGGCCCCATGGGGAGCTCCACGGAAAGCCCCAACCGTGCCGTCCACAGGAGTCCCCGCCACGCATTCCGGCACACCCCTCACACGTTTCGTGGCCCCATAGAGGGCCCCACCCGACGCCCCATGTGGTGTCGTTCACATGCGTCCCCGCCGCTCATTTCGGCACAGCCCTCTCACGTTTAGTGGCCCCATCAATGGCTCGTCCAAATACGGTTTTGCTACCAATTTCGACACGCCCCTCGCACGCTTCGTGGCCCCATAGGGAGTTCCACCCAAGGCGCCAAGGGCGCCATTCGCATGCGTCCCCGCCACACATTCCGGCACACCCTTCGCACGTTTCGTGGCCCCATAGGGAGCTCCACCCAGGGCCCCACGTGGTGCCGCCCGCACGCGTCCCCGCCACGCATGTACGCACATCCCCCGCACGTGTCGCGGCCCCACAGGGGGCTTCACCGAAGGCTGAAGCGGCACCCTTCGCATGCGCCCCCGCCACCGATTACGGCACACCCGTTACACGTTTAGTGTCCCCGTGGGGAGTTCCACCGAAGGCTCCACTGGCGACGCGTGCGTGCGGTTCCCCAACCCACTTCGACACACCCCTCACACGGTTCATGGCCCCTGAAGGAGCTCCACCCAATGTCCCACTGCCACCGTTCGCATGCGTCCCCCCCGCCCATCCCCTCACAGGTTTCCCACGCTTCGTGGCGACAGCTCCAGCCAAGGCCCCATGAGGATATCCAATTAGGGCGATATACACAACGACGGCATTCACAATTGCAGATGTTTGGGTCCTTCGTTTGGATAACCGCGTGCCGATGATAATAAAGGGACCCCCCCCCGTCAGTGTTTAGAGTTGAGTATCGTCGCCCTATACAAAATTCAAATTGGGCGGCGAGCGCTGAGGCCGAACTTCATTATCACCTCGAAACGCTATGTTGAGATAGCAACATCAAGCGATGTTGCTATCCCCGCGCGCGCCTGAACTTTTTTTTATCTCTGGGGTTGATTACCCATGGAAAGGGGAGCACATGAGCTACCCTACATGAGCACTTAAAAATCAATGTTCATAAAGCGTTTGTAAATTAAAATTGATAGATTTGGAACTTTCCATTTTTTCCGTTCTTCTTCTCTTCTTCTTCTTCTTCTTCTCTTCTTCTCTTCTTATTATTATTATACTTTCCTCTTCTTCTTTTATATTTCTATCTGTCCTCACGCTCGCCTGAACTTTTTTATCCCTGGGGTTGACTATCCATGGAAAATGAAGCACATGAGCTACCCCACACGAGCACTTAAAAAATCAATGTGCATAAAGCGTTTGCAAATTAAAATTGATAGATTTGGAACTTTGGATTTTTCCTTTCTTCGTCCTCTTCTTATTCTCCTCTTCTTCTTCTTTCTTATTATTATTCTACTGTATTCTTCTTCTTTTATATTTCTCTCTGTCCCCACGCTCGCCTGAACTTTTTTTATCTCTGGGGTTGATTATCCATGGAAATTGAGGCACATGAGCTACCCTACACGAGCACTTACAAAAAACAAGTTTCATAAAGCGCTTGTAAATAAAATCCAATAGATTTGAAACTCGAGATTTGTTCTTCTCTTCGTCCTTCTCCTCCTCCTATCATTTCTTTTATTTTAGCATTTATTCTGTTTATTTTTCTTTTTTATATATAGCTTCCTCCATTCCAGCGAGATAAGCCATTGTTGATGATATTTCTATGAAAACTAAACGCCAAGGATGTCTCAAAACGTGCTCGGCTTGGTCTCCTCTTGATCATCTCTTACTTCGAGATTATGCTGAGGTCTGCTGGGCTACTTTTATTATCTCTCCCTGAACCCCGAACTTTATTATCCCCTAGTGTTTATTCTCACGGGCATGAGGTTAAGTTGTGATTGCGAAGTGCTTCATCATCCGAACGGGTTCAACCCTTAAAGATGGTGCTCCCGCTGCCGCTGCAGTGCTGGCCTCAGTTTAGGATCGGCGCTGCGCCCCCGTCGTTCAAGATGGCGATCTCGCCGCAGAGCGGGCCACATTTCTGGATCCGATTGCTTCCTCGCCGCTGTCGCCCCGTTCCGTTCCCATCCCCCGCCGTCATGTGGTCTTTTTGTTCATACGGTTCTTCCCGTTTCTGCTGTTGCAGTTCATCATCCTTTTCCTCCCCCCTCGTTGTTCTCCCAGTCCTGCTTATCCGCCGCTTCCTCCTCCTCCTCCTTCTCCTCCTCTTCCTCCTCCTCCTCCTCCTCCTCCTCTCCCTCCTCCTCCTCCTCCTCTTCCGTCTCCTCCAATTTACACAGCTCTTCTGTTTCAGATTGCGCGCAACACGACGGGGTTATTCTGGGGTGTTCTTGGTTCGTTATGACACCGGGGGCGGACACGGGAAAGTCAGTGCAATGGGAGGGGGCGGGAGGGAAGGGGGGCGGATGTCAGACGTGGCGCCAGCGCGCACCTAGCTTGCTTCTTCCTCACCCCGTCCTTCCATGTCTAACGGTCGAGGAGTGGGGGAAGAGGGATGGAGGAAAGAGGAGGGAGGGAGGAGGGAGGGAGGGAGGAGGGGGGGAGGGGGGGAGGAGGAGGACGAGGAGGAGGAGAACGAGGAGAACGAGGAACACGAGGAACACGAGGAACACGAGGAGGAGGAGAACAAGGAGGAGGAGGAGAGGGACGAAGAGGAGGAGGAGGAGGAGGAGGAGGAGGAGGGAGGAGGAGGAGAGGAGGAGGAGGAGAGGAGGAGGGAGGGAGGAGGAAGGAGGCAGGAGGGAAGAGGGAGGAGGGAAGAGGGGAGGGAGGGAGGGAGGGAGGGAGGAGGGATGCGGGGCGCAGCGAAGCAGTGGCGGGACCGAGCGCGAGTGCGGCTCTTCCAAACGGCTTCGGCTGCTGCGCAGGAACGGGCTTCCTCCTCCTCCTCATCCTCCTCCTCCATCCTGCATCCTTCCCATCCTCCCTCCTCCCCATCCTCCCTCCTCCTCCTCCTCCTCCTCCGCAAACGTAGCCTCCCTTGCTTGCCCACCCGGGCTCGATATCGCGAGGTGCGGCGGCCGATGGAAGCTCATCGACATGGACGGGTGCATGCGCGCTGGCACGGAAGTCAAGTCGCGCCCCCAGCGGGAGGGCCCAGCAGATCTCGGAAAGATCTTGCGACCGTGCCGTTCGCAATGCTGCTGTCTGGGCTGAGTGGCGACTCGGCGCCGTGACGGGCAGCGAGCACGCGGGTATTTTTGTTCGCACTGCAGTTACGGGGCAGCGCGTGGACGACCAGGGCGGGCCGTTACCCAGAATTCCTGCGTGTACAGTCCTGGGCTTCTGATAGAACAAAGCGTTCCTGAGAGTGGCCACGGCGTTCCCGATGTGTGTCGCAGTGCGCACAGTGGAAGCCCATGCCAAGAAACACCCTGCGTGCATCCAGGGTGCCCTCGGTTTCTTGGGTTTCGATGGTTGTGCGATGGAAAGCGTGACGCTCCCGGACCCAAAATCAATGGACGTCCTGGGGTCTCAGGGTTGGGTATCTTGTGGGAGGTTTCGTGTGGTCGAGCTCGAACGAAGCGCTTCTGAGGGTGGCCACGGTTCGGCGTCACCCCAACCTACTAGTACTATGTGTGCGCCGCCCCCCAAAGGGCGACGCGCGCACCGAGAAATCATATCGTATGTGCGTCGTGGCGGGCGCTTTCTGGTTACACCGCTCGGGAAACGATGTACTACAAGATGCGTACACTATGTTGGGGTCGGACGCGCGCCTCCAGGGAGGACGTACAGTACTGGTGTGTCTCTGTGCGTCCCAAAGGTGGCCCCGAGTTGTGCCGCGGTGCGTGGCCGTGTTGCCGTCCGGCGTGGCCACCCCGGGAGCGCGCATCGGCCAGTGTGGGGCGCGCGCCCCCGGGAGGGAGCAGCGATCACGGACGCGGGTCTCTCTCTCTCTCTCTCTCTCGGCACCCCTCGGCGAGGACCACCGAGGAGCAGCTTGGACCATCCTGCGAACAATCGGCGGTGAGCGAGGGGGGGGAAATGAGAAGGAGGAGGCCTTCTCAGAAGGCGGCGGGGCTTCCTTCCTTCTCCTCCTCCTCCTCCTCCTCAGAAGCCCCGCCGCTTTCTGAGCGGTGTGTTGTGCCTTCGGGGAAGGCTCAGAAAAACTCTCCGAAGGCCAGGGGACTTCTGGGCCCTCTGGGAAGGCCCGCCCCTCTTCACTTGCCCAACCTCGCTCGCCGCCGAGAAAAGCATACACGCATGAAGCCGAGACATGCACGGGGAGTGGACGGCCGAGCGATGGCGAGTCTCGCATTCTCTCTGGAAGTTTTGAGTAAAGGTCTGAATGCCGTGGTCTTTAGTTATTTCTCGGTGGTCATGTACGTGAAGACCATCCGCCGTGTCCGCCGTCTGCGACCCTCCCAGGCATGTGCACCTTTGATCGGACACGGGATGATCGAGAAAGGCTTGAAACTTGGATTCAGGTCACTTTCAATGCGGTCACAACGTTCTTGATTGCTCTGCTGAACATCTCCACCGCGGCTCTTGATTGTATGATGATTGCACGCGTGGTACTGCGTGTCTCAGGTTGAACGATTCCTCCGTCTCGTTCTCGCCGTGCTACTGCGCTCCCGAGTTTGCGCGCTTCGTCGTCAAAGGCGGAACCATGACCGTGCAACCGAGCATGGACCCAGGGGGGGGAGGAGGCTCAGCAGAGGGGCGCATGACGGAAGGATGATGCGTTGGGCTCGCAGTCGAGGTCAAGGGGTTGGCATTTGTTTTTGCGTGACGGTGATGGAGGTCTCGGAGGTTCGTTCTTCCACATCGTCTTCCACCTCCTCCTCCTGTTCGAATCTCGGAACTCGTCCTGCCCCCGAATCTGTCCGACCTTTGGCGCGAGCTCGCCAGCCACCTGCCCCGCAAGGCACCAGCGATCCGCTGGGCGGTATTCAAGACTCTGGCAGGAGCGTGATGGACCAGCCACCGTTTTCCCTTCGGGCCGCGCAAGACCTGCTTGCTCGGATGCGATGCATGCCCAGATCGCCTCGGCCACTACCTCACTTGTCCCCGTCTCCTGCACTTCCTCGCGTTACCTCGTGCCTTTCCTCTCCCCCGATCCCCTTGTCCGAATAGGCCTTGGATCGACTGAGCAGCACGCCAATCCAGAGCACACTATGTCAGAAGCTGCCCGCAGGACAGCATTGTCACTTCACTTCTATAACAAACTGCGTGTCAGCACGCACGCCGCGCACAGCGCCGCGCTTCTTTACACTACAGGCAAGGAATGCCTGGCTACTGCATTGCATGCAATGAGGTCATAGACGCCTGCTGGACTGAAGGAAAGTACGGTCGCTCCTCCTCCTCCACCTGCTCCTCCTCCTCCTCCACCTCATCATTATCCTTATCCCTCTTCTCCTCCTCCTCCACCTCCTACACCTCCTCCTTCCTCCTCCCTCCTTCTCCTCCACCTTCATGCGATGGCTCATTTCGCTGACAGCCTAGTGTTGTCAGGGCGGTTGTACAATGCGGGCGCATGGCCGTCGCTCCGGGCAGCTGTCGCCGATTGCGTGCTAGCGTGCTGCAGCCTTATCGGGCCGCCGCTCGCAGCTGCCTGCCAGGCCAGCCCGCGCGCCACGTCAAGGACAAGTACGTCCTCGCCAGAGCTCACCGTGCTCAGCCTGCAACGTGGCGCACAGGCTGAGGTTACTTGCTGCACTTATCCGAGGTGCCCCACCGGCTGTGTTTGCCATGTTCGGCCGAGTTTTCACGCTCAAAGATGTAAGGCGCCTCGACTTGCAATTTGCTCAGCTGATATCCTGGGTCCATCTGCTGCTGGACGACCTTCGTTGGCCCCAGAGATACACGACTGATCTTGCCGACTTACCAGAATTGCCAGCTGGTCTCGCGAGTTGGGAGCAGCACCGTGTGCAGTCCCCAGTGCGGTGAAAGCGTTTTCTACGATCAGCCCTCGGTGCCGATGCGGCCACGCATGCGCGCATCCAGAAAGCCGCCGCAGCAGGACGCGATCTTCGCTGGGCTGTG